GTCACCTACACCCCCACCCATGTGAAAACTTGTGTCAAACTGTCACAAGGTGTGAAAATGCTGAGGCACAACTGACTGCTGTCTAGTAAGAGCAATAAGCCAAGTTCAGTTCTTGACTCAGTCTCCTTTCACTCTGTGAAACAATGCACTGAATGGACCAACCTCAGCCTTACTGTAACATAAGGGAAGGCTAATTTGTTGCTGAACATTATCTTGATGTTAGCACAGTGGAAGAGAAACCCATGGTCGAGAGTCCTCCATCTCAAAGCCCAATTCTCTACAGATAGGTTGGGTTAGCAGGGGTGGGATGGTTCCTGCTGATCAGGCTCTGATTCAGTTTTTCTTCTGTATTCCCTTGCTTTCCCCCAGCAACAACCCTGCCAGCACCAGCCACACTTCAGTACCTCAAAACCCACTTGAAAGATCAAGACTCAAAGCAAGCAGCAATAGTTGCTCCCATCAGCCAGGCTGCAGCATATTGAGACAAAGTTAAACTTTGACTTTGTGGGGCCCGTATGTCACTTTTGAGATCTGCACTTCTGGTGTATTTGGGGGTAGTTCTGCCAAGCTACAGAGCTCCTCTTCTGAGAGAGTGAAGTGTCATAAAACAGGTGTATGACAAAATGCTATGTTCACATATCCCTGGGATTTTTAGTCGTTCTTAGGGTTTTATTGCCTGTGTTTGTTTAGCTCTAGTGCTTATTAGTCATAATCACTTTTCTACTCCAGTGCAAATTTCTAGCTACTCTGGCATGCATATGAGCTACCCATGCCCTGTCCATGTCTTTGATAAAATATGAGCATATGGTATATAGAGACACATCAACATAGCTGTCATAGGAAACTGAAATATTTGGGACAGGTTAGGTTAATGACTGGATTACATACTCTGATAAGTTAAAAAAAAAGAGCCAATTTTTTTTTTAACTTATAGGATCATATTTTGGAGAGAGACTATTTACAAGAGTATGCAGTGACAGGACAAGGGCGAATAGCTTGCAATTGGTAGAGAGTAGGTTTAGGTAAGATATTAGGAAAAAATTCTTTACTAGGAGAGTGGTGAGTCACCAGAATAGGTTGCCCAGAGAAGCTGTGAATGCTCCATCCCTGGAATTGTTTCAGACCAGGTGGAATGGAGCTCTGAGCAATGTGGTCTAGTGGAATGTGTCCCTGCCCATGGCAGGGATTTGGAACTAGATGATCTTTAAGATCTTTCCCAACCCAAACCATTCTGACTCTATGACTTGTGACCCCCCGCTCACCCTCACCTCTGTGTGACACTGCGGGTGCCTCGTGCGTACAAAGGTTCCTTTGGCTGCGGTCTCTGTCACCTCAAGCCTCTGACACAGAGATGCCTTGGCAATGACTCATCTGGTCCCTGGTACATGTTGCTCAGATGGAGACTCCATGGTTGCTCTCTTGTCAAACCTTTGCAAGCACTACTCGTTGTAGTGTTTCTACTCAATAGGGCATGACCTAAGGCATAGAAACTCTCCTGTCATAGGGTATAAGCTGAGGTTTTGTTTCACTAAGCTGAGTAACTCTTCTGTTTTTAAGATGCTGCTTAACACTGGTACTTCAAGTGCTCCAAATACTTAAATGTTTAAGCACCTTGCAGCGTGATGTTATGACGATCCAAAGCTCAAGCCTAGATTAATTTTTATGTCCTTAAATTTACTAGCAAAAGCAATAGATTAGGATCATAGGGTAACAGCAGAAAAATTTGCTGTGAGAGTTCTTGAGTGTTCCTGTAGTTTGTCCCTGTTTCCAAAGTTAAGAAAGCTAGAAGTAAATTATTCTTAATAACCCTAGATAGAAAAAAAAAAGAAAAAGAAAAAGTGCATCATCTTCATAGAGCTTTCTTATATCTGAATATAAAAATGTTTCCTGTGGTCATGTAGCTTTCAAAACCTGTAATCATCTAAGTCTGACCACAATTAAACTGAGGCAGTTCCTCCACTTAAACACATACCTTTTTTACTACCTCTGCTGTCCATGACATCTTGTCATGTTACAGAAGTGAGAACTCCTTCCCAGCAGACAAGTTTCTACCATTTTCTACCATCTTGCTTCATGTGCTGCCCCTGGGAAACCTCCTCTTTCTTGATGAAGACTGACATTTCCAAATAGCTTCCTCAACTACCAATTGTGGTGGAAACTGGTTTTTCTCTTTCGGTGCAAGGTGCTTTGTTTCTCCTACTCAGGGTCAGATTTTGCCCTCCTCATTCCCTGAGAGTTCATTACTCCTTGACTGAAGCAGTGACAGCCACAGTAGCCCTCACTCCTTCAGGTGACTGTGCCAGTAACAATTTCAATCTCTTTCATTTTCAGGGATTTCAGCAAATTCAGATGGCAAAGCTGAGCAACATGATGATAGTGGAGATAAGGTAAAACTTCCTGTAAGCTTCAAGAGTGTTCGAGTAGAAATCAGAAGGACAGCAGGACATGATAATGATTTTTAATGTATTCATACTAAAGGGGACAGCTTTTGCAAACAGTAGCTTGAACTTTTGTTTAGAAGCTCAGGAACCATCTGTTCATTTTTCCAGTGGATAGAGCCAAAGCCTGTGAGCATCCCATCTGGCTTGGACACTTCAGAAAAAACTCATCCCCCTGACACCCCGGTAAGAGAGGCAGAGGATGCAAAAGGCAATTTAGGAGGGTGTTACACTTCCCTGTGTCTAATTAAGAGGAGGATGAGGGTGAATAAGCTCCTACTTTAGACACATTATTAAGAAGTGCATGTTAAGTGGGATGAATCCAGCTTCAATATTTCAGAAGAAGATTTATTTGATACTGAACAGGTTGTTTATCATGATCAACTTGATGTGTCTTCTCTGCTTTGTACTGGCAAGCTCGGAAAAGCCCAATGCAGATAGTTCAGTGCTCTGAGCCAGTAGCACAACCCCTCCTGTGTGAGTAGCTCTGAAGTAAACAGGCTCCTAAAGCCTTTTCAGTTTTTCTCTTCTCCCTTCCAGTTTCCCAGCTCTGTCATTCTCATTGCCTGTGTCACAGCGGGGGCCATTCTTTTCGTGTTGATGTTCTCACTGTTTTGGAAACGTAAGTATCCTTAAGCACATAATTGACAAATGATTCTAACCCTGGCCAGATGCACATGTCCCTCTGTGTCTCTGGATAATCTTCTGGGAACTCTGCCATGGCCCTTGTGACAGTGCTCTGTTCGTTTCATGGGCGTTGCTGTCCTTACTCCAGCACTGTGTCACCACAAGGAGACCAGGGAGCATGGTTTGGTGGGGATGAAGCAGGAGAAGGCCTGTGCAAAGAACCTTTTCACTCACTTGTGGCAGGTCTGGCTCATCTTGTTGGCTCTTTCTTTATAGTTTATTCATCCCATAGTTTCCTGGAATTTTTCCTGAAAGACACTGGTGTAACTGAAATCAGAATGAGAACCTTTCTTTCCTGCTTAGCCCACAGAAATTTTGCAACTTGCTATCATTGCTTTTGAACTCATTTGACAGATACATTAGAATTATAGATTTTGTTTTGCCGTTGTGACGTTAATATTATTTTGCTTCTAGGTAAACACGTAAAGAAACTTATAATAAAAAGGTAATCCATTTTGTAATTTCCTATTAAAAGTTCCAGTGTAATTTTTCTTAGAGACAGGAAGGTATTGGCCAGTGATTGTAATGGGTGTAGTATTGGCTTGGGGTGCTGACTACAGGAAGCTTCAGATAATTTCACTGCAGAAGATCAAAGAGTGTTTCCTGGATACTGCTTCTCTGTACCACTAGAGAACTTAAGCAGCTGGTACTTACTGTGTAGTGACCTCAGCTTAAGGAAGTACCTCATCTGCTTTATTTTTAATCTAATACTAGGGAACTGAGTACCTGTGCAGGTGTAACTGATCAGTTCATGTCTTCTGGCTTATCTTGAAAAAAAAAGGATTTTCTGTGGACAAACCACAGTGTTGTCAGTAAAATACCATCCCTTTTTCAAAGGCCAATAATGTTTTGGTGGTAGATGGTCCCTCACTGCATACTCCACCTCGGGGATAGGCACTGGGGGCCAAGGAGAGACTTTTCTGAATCCCATGGTGCTTACCCCACAGTCATTATGAGATCTGAACAGGCCTTTCCTGTCCATTGCAAGCAAGGTAAATATTTCTCTGATGTAAAAACTGGGTGTTGCTCCATTTCATTTAGTGGACTCAGTAGCTTCAGGTTTCTGTTTCAATGGGAATTTGCTGATGTTACAAATCAGAAAGGATACTCTGAAAGAACAAAATCCTTTTGCTCCATCCATAGTGATCTGTGCTTCTCACTGCAGTGTTGGACCTCCAGAAGAGCGTGAGAAAGTTTTCAGTGGTGCCGAAGGAGAAAACAACATTTTTTCCCTGTGAAGACCTCGTACATTATCTGTAGATGCTGTGGAAAATAAAAAGGGCCTGTTTCATGCTGCACTAAGAGATGCTTATGAGCCTCCAAAATATCAATGGGTGTAAACCACAGGCCAGAGCTTCAACTACGAAAATTTAAAATCTTCATGCAAATTATGCCATATCACCCTTAACACTCATTGCATAAAGAAGCTTATTTGAGAAGGGGCTTTATGCATTATTCATGGATGCTTCTGGCATCTGCCTTCTTACTAACACCATGTTGCACAATTGAATTTATTTTTCTCCATTTTTGCTAATGCTCTTCTTTGAATACAACTTATACTGTGAGGAACAGAAGAGAAAAGATATTACATGGAAGGCTGCCTATCTTCAAATTGCCAAAAGGAAAGAAAAAAATCAGAAACTATAGTTCTTATTGTTTTCATGTAATCAACAGAAAAATTAGCTACAAGAATGCTGTGAGTTTAAATCAAAAATGCAGATTACTTAAGAGGTACCAATACTGCCTGTGATTCAGCATGTTTGAATGACCCTTGGAGATTATGTTAATAAACTTTTAATTTACCACTGGCAATTGTATTTTTATGCCACATCTTAAGGTATATGAACAGGAGCTAGTTATTCCCCAGGTGTTGAAATGACTGGTGTGCCATCTCAGCTCTCCACAGAACTACTGCAGCATTCCCAGAGGTGGGAAAATGCCCAGAAGACCAAACTGGAGGCTACCCTGCCCCCACAAGCCCTCATATCAGTCATTCCTATATCCGTTAGTGAAGAGGGACTGGCCATGGAGGCTGGGGGGATCACCTGGGGGATGTGCTCCAGAGTTTTTGTGTGTCTCACTGGGGTCCTCACCGATTCTGCTGCAGTGACAGTGGGAATGGCATGGGAGAAGGTTCAAATCCATGACACTGTTTGTTACCTCTGTTGCCTGGAGTTCACCAGGGCCAGCTATGGCACTTCTGGGCAGCAACAACTTGAAGTAAGAGCACATTGTAGGAATAGCATTTGGTCAGAAGGAGACGTGTGGCAGCTCTGGACTTCCCCACCAGTCATGCTCAGGGCTGTGGTGAGACTTTTGGATCCTCCAGCATCCTCTCACAGGCTGTAAGTTGGGGGAGGTGGGGGAGGTTCCTCTTTGGGGTCCCTCTTGGTCTCGTCTGGGTTCAGCACTCTGGTCTAGTGGTGTTGTGGGAGGCAGAGGAGAGTCCCCAGACAGTGGATGTGGCTCCAGGCTGGGTTTGCTCAGCTGAGCCCTGTGACTGTCACACTGATCACTGCCCCAACACACAGCACGTGCTGAGCCTGGGGCCTGGCTCCTGGCACTTCTTCTAGGCATGAATCCCACACAAACCTGAAAGGAACAAAAAGAAAAAAATACCCAAACGGTTTTGATGTACTCCTTCGAAAAACCCAAACTTTTCTTGTTGCCTTTTTTACCTGTCCAATGAAACCTGCTAATTAAGGCAGCAACAGCTCCGTTGCTGCTCCAATTGGCAGAGCTGGGCCAATCCTTTTGCTCTTATTAATTAGCTCTTCACTAATGACTTCTTTGCAGCACAGCTGGCTCTCACTTGGGAAGGTTCCAGCATATTTGCTGCGGTGCTGGCTGGACTTGAAGGCTCTGCTTTTGGGGAGCTGCACAAAGGGAAGAAGAGATGGGAGCCAACAAAGTGAGTTTGATCTGATCAGCCATGTGGAAATGCAGCCCAGAGATGCTGTAGCAATGCTGTAAGTTCAACCTATGTTGCTGAGTGTTTTTATTTATCTTTTATCCGCCCCAATTACTGAGGCAGAGGTTTAGGTTTAGAGTGGCAATTGGAAGCAAGGAATCTGGGAGGGTTACATCTAAATGAAAATACACTGAAGTTATTTGTGAGGAACTGACTCTGGCTGTCAGTATGTTCAGGGAAAGGTTAAAGGGAGCCTTTTAAAATGTAGCTGGAGGAAACAAATGCTGCTTTCCAAAAGCAACAGAAGCCCCAGAATGCAGTCTTTGGGCCCAGTGGAAAAAAACTAGATGAAAGCAGCACATATTTAGAGAGAAAAGGCTGTTGGAGAGGATGTCATTGGCATCTGGAAATGCTGGCCTTTATTTTTTAAAGACTTTTACCTTGGAAGGCAAAGAAATGCACTTGAGTAAAGATGAAGAACTGTAGCCAAGAAAACCCTCTGTTAACAAACTAAAACAATACACAGGGCAAAGGAGCAAAGTTGTTTGCTTTAAAACTGTCATGCATTTCCCCAAAACTCCAGTGCCCCCACCACCTCTCAAACTTCTAAGCACCAAGACTTGAAATCGCTCAGGTTTGAGGCCTCTCCTCAGCACTCCAAGCTGCTGGAGTTATCTCAGCATTTATGGACTTGCACTGGGAGCCTGTGGCAGAACAAAGTAGGTTTTAATTTTTTCAGAGTCCATGTCAAACCTAAATGGTGTTGTATCTGGGGAGTCTGGCTCAGCTCCATGGAGCAAGGCAGTTAATTAATGAAAGATTTAGCTTTTGGTCCAAGTAATAATTTTTACTGGCCCCCAGTACTTTATGGACAATTGTCTGTATCAAAATGACTGATTAAACAGGGTAAAGGAGGTCTGACGTGAGGAGATAATGACTGAACTACCCGATTAGTGTGGAGGAGGTACAGAAAAGCAATTAAAAAGGGAGATTTGAATATTTTGGGATATGGGATTGACTAATGAGAAAACAGGAGGAAATACTGAAAATAAAAAAAAAGGCAAGTGCTGAGTTAGGAATACAAATCCTTTAAAGAGAAACCAGAGGAATGAATTAAATATCATTTTGAGATTAATAAGAGACCTCTCTTAATAGACTTCATTGGAGCTGACTGTTCTGGCGGTCCCTTTCCATCTCAGCAGCACATTTCATTATGTTTCTAGGTTTGTTTCTTAGCCTTAATGTGCTTTTCTAGGCATTTTTTAAGGTTAATATAAATAAATCTCTTGGTTCCAAAGGTGAAATGTAATTGGGGCTTAAGAAAGAGCAAGCAGAAGGGAAGAATGTGGCTGAGTACATAGGAAATTAGAAATAAGAATAAATAGCATCATGGGACTTGGGGAAAGAACAGAGATAACCACACAGTGTGAGATGAATGCATGAAAAAGTGGAAAATTTTAGGCTAGTACAAAGAGGAAATGGGACGTGTTGCTGCAGACATGACAGCAGATGGCAAAATTGAGCTGCAGAGACTGAGCAGAGAAACATCTGGAGAGATTAGAAGGGGCTGTAAAGGTGATGCAGATTTGCTGACATCAAGCAGAATAAATGCAGCCTACCCCAGTGATGATGGAGGTCCCAACCAGGAGTTCAGCTCATGGCTGGCTCCAGGAAACTCTTTCAGCACGCTTGGCCTGGGCTCCAGCTTATGTGCCCTCTAGCAACAGAGTTTCCTGCAAGTCTTAGTAAAACCCTGGTTTTCTTGTGCTGCTGAGGCTGTGGTGACCATGAACTTCTTGGTTTCCTCTTCCCACTGCTGTCTAGTCCCAGCTGGGAATAGTGTGGTTTTGGTTTCTCTTACTAACTTAAAACACAAAACCCAAGATTCAGCAGTTCCTGTAATCACACTGTGGAAGCAGTGACCTGGGAAAGGAAATGTCAGCCCCAACTCATCCTATAGCTCATCTCAGCAGGTTCTCCCTCCTGCGAGGAACACTGTGACTAGAGTCTCCTCATCCTGTAGTATAGAATCACAGAATAGGATCATAGAATCATTTAGGTTGAAAAAGACCTCCAGGATCATTGAGTCCAACTTTTGACTGATCACCACCTTGTCAACTAGACAAGAGCACTAATGGCACATTCAGTAGTTCCTTCCAGGGATTAGATTCTACCTCTTCCCTTAGCAGCTCATTCCAAGGCCTGACCATCCTTTCAGTGAAGAAATTCTTCCTGATGTCCAACCTGAACCTCCTCTGGTGCAGCTTGAGGCCATTTCCTCTTGTGCTGTCCCTTGTTCCCTGGGAGCAGAGCCTGACCCCTGCTTGGCTCCACCCTCCTGTCAGGGAGTTGTAGAGAGACAAGGAGCCCCCTGAGCCTTTTCTCCAGGCTGAGCCCCCCCAGCTCCCTCAGCCCCTCCTCACAGGACTTATGCTCTAAAGTCAGCTAAAGAGCTCCCAGTGGTTTGAAGCTGAGATAGGAAAGGCCACAAGGACACTGGGGAGACAGATGCAAACCATGTGCAAAGACTGTACGAAAACTGATGGAAGGATTGGGGGAAGGATGCTGGGGAATGATCTTTGGTATAAGTTCACTGACTTTCTTCAGTCTTTCAAGCATTTCTCCAAGAGGAAGGGAAATCCACAACTTCCCAAAATAGCTTTTGTGGGTTTTTTTGTTGATGTTTTGGTTTTGTTTTTTCCTAAGAAGAAAATAAGATGTATGTTCTCTGGCTATTTCAAAATGCAGGGGGTTTTTGGTTTTTTTTAAGCATCTAGAAAAAAAGGAAGGTTTTGTGGCAGTGTGTTTTGGTGTTTTGGGTTTTTTTTTTAATATCTAGGAAAAGAGATATGTGATAGGTAATCCAAAACAAGGAATAAATCCTATCTATAGTTATGTTTTCTAAACCAAAAGATGTTAAGGCCTGGCTCTCCTCTCTTGTGTACTGGTGTATGTTCTGTAGTTCTACTTATATTAGGGAACCTTGAATCCTTGAAGGTAACCCCTTTTCATGCTTAAATGTACATCTGATGAAGATTCATGACTTCAAAGGTGCTCTCAAGCACCAGAGCTGGTGTCATGCTTAACTAAGCTATCCAGTAGTTAATAAACATCACACTATCATTTGCATATTTAATGCAGGGTACAGAATTTTATGGAAAAATCTATAGCTTTTAATCCAGTGATGAATCATTTATGGGATTTTGGATTATTCACTTTACACTGAATTAAGTTGTCTCTTTTCACCAAGTGAGCCTCCCCAACACAGTCTGTGTCAGGGCCGGGCTGCACAGTGATGGATGTTGCTGGGATGAATTATTTATTGGGTGTTTTAGATCATTTGCCCAGCAGTGAACTAAGCCCGTTAATTTTAAATCTGTTCATATCAATTCCTGAGTGCACAAAAAGGTTTCCATGTACATGAAATTCATCTCTCTTTCTTCCTCCCACTCCCTTCAGTGCACTAGTGAATTACTCATGGAGTTTGGGTTGGGTTAGTTTTGGATGCAAAGTTTTCCTCAGTGGATGCAGTGACTCTGCCCTGGTGGGAGGGACTCTTTGTCCAAACCAGTTTTGGACCTGGTGTGAAGGAGGTGTTTGTGTGTGTCCTTCAGTTCTACTTTAAATACTGTGGAATGGAAACAACTGTGGTTTCTTAGCTTGTCAGGCACATGGTATAATCCTCCTTAGTCCAAGGGGGTTGTATCAATGGACCCAGTATGGTGAGCAAGGAAACTGCCATAGGCTGTAATGATCAAGCACTGATTTTTTTAAATTTTATTTTATTTTAACCCAATGCTGGGAGAGAGCCCTTTCCCAGGGCTTTCCTGTGAGCTCTGCTTCAAGGACAAAGGGAATTTAGTCTCTCAATGGAGCAGGGAGTCTATGCTGCTTTTGAATTCTGCTTGGTGTTTTATGCCCTTGGTCCATTACTTAATGGGGAATATGATGAGGTAATTATGGAAATACACAAATTGCAACCTTGTGAATACCAAAGAAATTCATGATGATCCATGCTAAAAGAATGCATAAAAATGCAAATCATTTGTAAATGGGGAGCAGTAAATCTTGTTAGTATTAATAACTTGGAGCATTTAATTGCATCAGGTCTCGATGAATTCTAACCAAAGACCTCTGAAGAGATGGTTTTAAGACTCTATCCTGTGAACTGTGTACCATGAGGTCAAGGGGAGCTCTAACTTGGATCCACTTGGTGGATCCACCTCTGGCTCCTTCCATAGCTGAGGGAGGCAGCAGAAGTATTGCTTGGCTGGTTTTTTTGTGGGCTAACAATGGGATTGGGATTTATCTTCAGGATTCTCCCTGTTTTTTGTCATATCACATTGAATCTTGTTTGGATTTGTGGGAGGTGCTCCCAGCAGCATCTTGCGAAGGAAAGAGAGAAGGCATTCCGCCTGTGTTCAGGTTTTTGCCTTTTTTGTGCTGCTGTTGTGGTACATCTGGCCAGGTGTGTGAGGGGCTTTTGCTATGAGTCTGCTGGGGTGAGATTCTCTCTAGATATGCACTTGAAACTTTTCCAAGTCATTATTAAACGGTTGTTTCTTTTCCTTTAAACTTTACCAGGCCTGTCAGTGCCTGGGTGTTTGGTAGGGTTCCTATTTAGCAGCTCATTCTTCTCTCTTTGGTTCATTCATTGTCTGCCCACAGCTGAGTTATTCTACCCTGATCAAAGATACTGAATGGCACTTTCATACATGAACCCTGCAGCTTCATAAAACCTGATGAAGGAGAGAGGAATATTCCAAGAGAAAACGAGAAACGGTCATGATTTATTGCTTATAAACAGCTCCCTGTATCTTATTATCTTTGCTGTGTAGAAGCCTGAAGATCTAGATTGGGCTTTATAATTCACATTGAAATTCAATGAATCACATGTCTCCTGTAAAGCCACATTTTTGAATAATACTCAAACCCTATTAAACAGGTACTCATTAAACCACAACACCTTATAAATTCTTCCTGAGTTTTGTTGACAGTACACATCAAACACAAACCGTTAAGTGCTTTTCATTTTCCTGGTAGTGGGCTATCATAATGCATTACATGACAAAATAATGTGTTTACATGACAGATTTAATGCTTGATCTGCTGCATGAAATGCTTCAGAGCACCAGAAGACAAAAATGTAACATTATACTTCCAAGTGTCTATTAATTCTTAACTAATAATAAATTACAGTGGAATGCTGATAGAAATGGATGCGAGAGGCACATGCACATGGGAGGAATTCATGAGGATCAGTGACATGGCAATGAATACTAAATGCAGACATCATAGCTAGAGCAAAAACATAGCATTTCTGTGTTGGCAAGAGCTCTTGGAGCCTGTGGACTTGCTACTGCTCCATAAGGGTGTGTTGCTTCTTTTTTGTCCTGACAGACCATATGGGCTTGTAGTGAAGGTCACAGATTTACTTTCACTTGTCCCTCCCTCCAGAATGATGCCAGCAAGCAGTCCCAGCTTGTCCTGTCCTGGGAATTGGGCAGGCATGTGGCCAGCACTGAAACTGAACCCCAGCTCTAGGGACATGAGGGTGCCTCAGCTGCCCTTTGTGTCACCCTGGGGCTGGAAGGGTCACCCACTTGTCCATCAAACCTTGTGAACAGCATGGCTTGCTAGATCCAGTTGTATTTCTTTATAAATTGTCAGCCTGTGCCTTGCCTGACAGCTGAGGGAGAGCCATGGGATGGCTCTGTAGACCTTGCAGATCCACTGCAAGCCTCTGCAGGGACATTTTGCAGGGATGAGGGGTTCACTGAGGGCCAAGGGCAATCACCAGTCCTCCTGGGGTTTGGAGAACCAAACAGAAATCAACCCTTGCTTACAAACTGTCTCTCACCAGCAAAAGAAAGTAACAAACTTTCTGGGTTTTTTTTCCCAGCCAAAAAGCCTTTTTTCCTCTCTCCTTGTCTCCTCTAGCTGGGAGCTGCTCTATCCCTGTACCTCCTGTGCTGATCCACACAACCAGGGATGTGCTGATCCATGAAGCCTGTGCACAGAACTGGGCACGTGGCTTCCCACCAGCATCCTGCATATCCCAGCCAGTCCAGCCCATGCACCTCCAAATCAAACCCAAGGTGAGGTTTGCTCCCACGTGAATGAACTGGCGTGTTGGAGCAATGATTTCATGCTTTGGTTTGGGCATCGCTTCCTACTTAAGCTCAAAATAAAGCACAGACAAATTTAGTCTCAAGGCATTCTGTATTTGATTTTTTTTCCTGAAGATTTCAAAGGAAACTGTTACTTTTGTTGTTTGTTGTTTTCATCAAAAATGGTTGTTAATTTTGGCATTTCTTTATGAAGAATTGTCCTTCAACAGGCTCCATTTCTCCACATTGCCAACCCCTTCCCTCCATGCAGTCCTACTGTAATTCATGACATTGTTGACTTCCAGCCCCATCAGATAACTGTCAGAGCCTTGAATTTGGAATTTCAGGAGTGATATTCAGCCACTCCACAAGTTTAGAGTATGAGGGCAGCTGTGTCTATTAATCTTTAAAAAGAACCCAAATCTCTGGTTTTTATTGCAAGTGGGAGCTAAGAAGGAATTGGTATGTGAGAAAACAATGCTGTAATGATGACATACAATCAAAGGGGGGGTAATAAACCTGCTAGTTTTCTGTATTTACTGGGGGAGTTTGCTGGGGAGAAGGAGCTGAGGCTTGTTTTAACTACAGACAGCTTTCGCCTTTCAGTTTTTATGGCTTTCTCAATCACTTTGCTCATCTGCTGCTGGAGGTTTTATTTGCTGGTAAGGGCTGTTAACCAGTTGGAAGGTCAGACCAGTGAAGTTATGTAAAATGCAGCAAAGGTTTGTGGCAGGTTAGAGCCACAGTGCTGGAGGAATGAGGGAGATGGGAGGGCTTCAGCCCCTCCTGTTGGAAAGGCAAAAGTTCTGAGGAGGGGACAAGTTGCAGCAAAACAGTGAGGTACATATATATATATATATAAATATATACATGTGTGTGTGTGCAAATATAGTACTGCAAATTGCAGTAAACTCAATACATATCCCTCACTGTTTTACTGCAATTGTTTTGCTCTTTGAGGAGTGGACATATATACGTCTATGTGTATATATACACACATATTTATATTTGTCCCTGCCCTGCGTGCTGATGGGTCAATGGTTTCCTCTTTCTTATTCTGTTTCGTCTTTTTCAGAGAAATTTCTAAAGTCTCCTTTAACAGAGAAATGAATGAGAAATGTTGATGCAATGGAAGGGGTGCTGAGACTGCCTTGCCCCAGGTCAGTGATCTGAGCAGCATCTCTTAGTGAGGAAATGACAAGTTAAACTGCAGGAACTCTTGGAGGTACATTAAAGGCTACTTTTGAAGTGACTTTGTAGTACCTTTCCTTATCTGGAAGCAATCAATAATAGAAATGGAAAAAATTACCAGATTTTAACACTGCAATTGTCCTTTGAGCAGACTGCAGAGCTGAGTCTCTGCAAGCCTGGATGCAGGGAATAGTGCTGTGGCTGCATCCATGGTGAACCTGTTTTCTTTGGTTTGGGTTTGAAAGTTTATTCTATACAGAGTTTGTTTTTTTTTTGCAGAGGCAACAGTGATTACAGGACTGCTTTGTTCTGCTTTCTCAGTCATTATTTATTTATTCCTATTTTTCCCTTTATGAGAGAATTAAAAATTAATCTGGAATGTCATGTCTGGAAGATTGTGAACTATACATATATATGAAGAAACTTATATAGTTTTTAAATTAAAAAAGTAAAAATCAAACAAACCCAAAACAAAAAACCTGTTCCCAATATCCAGCTACTACTTTTCAGGTTCCTATTGCAAATTGATAACATAATTCAGTTGACCTGTGAGCACTTTGAACAGTTTATCCAGTTTTACAATTTTTATAAGGTTTCTAATATGCTCATTTCATGTCTCCAGAGTGAAGGATTCTCTTTAAACCCTCTATTTCTCACCAACTGGTTCAAGGTCTCAGTTACCAGAGAACGGCAACATCTAGTTTTCAGACAAATTGCTGGAAAAGCAGGCATCCTTTTCAAATGTCACCTTCATTTGGTCATCACCTGAAAAATGAGGAGTGTCAGGTTCTACTAAAGCATTTCAGTTCCTCTTCGCTGTTTCAGAATCTTTTTGCCTTGAGACAAATCGGAAAAATTTTGTGATCCCTTCTTGTCTCACCTCTCTCAGATTGTGCATGAGAGGTAGGGAGCTGCCTTTCTACCTCCTACTTTTAGTCTTGAGAAATTTCCATGTAACCCGAAAGAAATATGACGTGATGACTCTGTCTGGAAACAGTCCACTGTGATGTGACATCTCCTTCCCAGAGCAGAGCAGCCGTGCACATATCCTGGGAGAAATACTGCTGACTGCAACAAGCCATTCACTTGACTTTCCTTTTCCTCTTTGGAAACAGTTTGTTCAAAGCCCTCTGCAGTCAGGAGCCTGAGAAAATAGTTTTAAAAGCTCCAGGAAAGGATTTACTCTTTGCATGAGCTGACAGACTGCAATCTTCAGTGTAGAGCAGTTAATTGAAAACCAGGGAAGGAAAGGCTGTTAAAAGGTATCATGTGAATCTTGGCTCAAGGCAGTAAAGCCCAGCTTTCAAGCTAGTTTCTTCCCTGTTTTCCCTTGAAAGGTGTGCAAGTTCAAGGAACAGAGATCTGAGGGGGTTTTGGATGGTCATAAAGCTGCTTGGTAATGATGGAGCATCTCCTGCTCCATGATGGAGAGAATGAGTGCAAGGTGCTCACTGAGAAAGCCCCATGGGGCTTTGACTGAATGCATCTTGGAGTAACTGATTTCCTCAGTTCAAATATATGTATTCCCTCCTTGCTATTGCATCTGCTCTCTCTCCTCTAGCAGTCTGGATTTTGGGTCCAGCACACTGGGACATGGTCATAGCAGAGCAGGTTGGTGTCCTTGCCCGACACCTCCTGCCACCTCACAGGCAGTGGCTGCTGCATTCACCCTTGACAGATTTACCCAACTACTTCATAATTTGAAAAATCACTTTCCAAACTGTGGTCTGTTAACTGTGTATAACCTCACTTTAGGAATTTAGAACTCTAAAATCCTTTTAGAAAAAATGTAGCCAGTGAGTCTGCCCACACATTAGCTGGCATGTGCAGTGTGTTCCCCTTCCTAACCTCTGCAGGAAGGATTTGAGATCTCCTTGGCTGATGTTACATCTTCTGATGCAGATGCATTAAAAATGGATTAATTTTTTTTTTAGCAGGCTCCACTATTTCCTGCTGGGGCTATTTATGTAGAACTAGATTTAAACATCTCTTATTTCATCATAAATTGTATTGACCTGGTAAAATCCGTGCCGTTTTGAGCAAAGTCTGTTCCATTTGGAAATAAGATATAAATCTCCTGACTTCAGAAAGTTCTTCTAAGAAACCATCATCTGAGGCACAAGTGGGGTCAAAGTGAGGTAAAAACTGAGATCTAAAATTTTCTGTGCTTCCTTCTCACCCACTTGATACCAAAATCTACCACATTAAATCCATCCATCTATCAGAAAATTTTACTTCTTGGCACTTCTAGTTTTGAGTTAAACAAAATCCTCACTCTTAAGGGACTCAGCTGCTTTCCTCCTGCTGCACCACCCTTGAATCCCTTGGAGACCCAGAAATGAGACACAACTGGCTGTCATCTCCAAGAAGCTCAGCCTGCAATGTGCTCCCAGGATGATGTCTTGCCTCAATACAGACTTTGCTACAAAATCTGTTGCTGCTGCTTTCTTCTAAGGCATGGCCAGAGCAAGGGGAGGTGCCGAGGGCAAAATCTCTTCTTTATAAAGTAACCTGTGAGTTACAGCGTGTCCTCATGCATTGGAAACCAGGAATTCATTTGCACTGTAACAAGTGAGTCTAAACCCACTTTTCTTACAAGAGTAACCAAGCCAGTGACTGCTCTGGAGTAGGGACACTTTCCTCCACTGTCTAGAGCTAGGACACTACAAAAACAAAGAGGGATTTGGGTCCCACTGGTAGCAGAGAGAGAAAAAATACTGTCAGAAAGGAGCAGGATCCAGTGAAAGGGAGGCCTGGGCTCTGGACCCTTCCCCACCATTTCTTTGCATTTTCCATTTGATCAAGTACACAGGCTTTTGGACCAGGAACAAAGTGTTTTTCTGTTTGTGATTGTCTTAGCAAGCATTTTGTACCCACATAGATCCCCTGCCCCTTTTGCCCCTTACGAAGATTGCAGGTGGATCTTCCTCTGGATGGTTCAGCTCTGGCTGGATCATTTCCAAGGAAGCTACTAATCCCCGTGCAGTGCCCCTCTTCCAGGCCCTTCCCTCCAGGATCTGGATCCACTCCAGTAGCCAAGCACCTTTCCTCAACCCCAGAAACTGCTGAGCCTAAATTTCAGATGCAGAAGGTACTTTCATCCCACCCTGAGTGTATGCACAAAGGAATAGCTGAGCTACTTGGTGAACTGATTAAAGATTTATAGTTCTTAGAACACATAGCTGTCTTTTGGGGAAAATCCTGGATCAGAAATCCATCTCTGTCCTCACTAATCCAAGTATTATTCTCTCTCATTACTTTCTATTGATTCATTTTCATTCCATGTTGCAGCACTGGGTCACTAGTGTGTATCTGATATTACAATACATTATTTAGCTGTGTCCTGACTCTCTGGTATTTGGTGGCATCTGTTAGCATGTTTGACTCCTCTCTGTCTATGTGTTTATTAATGGTACCTAAATTTTTTTATTAATAATATCAACATCCTACTGGTCAATTAGCTGGTCATATTCTGCCTGAATCTGAAGTTAATTCTTTTGTGCCTTCTCTTTTCTTTCCATTTTACTATGTGCAAAATGTTATCAGGAATTGGTTTTGACTCCTTTGACTTCCCAAGTGATGCAGACCCTATATATGGTGTTATCCCATGGGAATTTGTATAGGAAAACAGAAGGCAGAGAGCTCCCTTCTGCACTCAGGTAGCTTTAGGCTGCTATTCAACTACTGAAAGGAAGTACACGGTGCTTTACAAGAGAATATGTACCCAGACCAAGTGCCACACAGATCCAGTGTAGTAGGGCCAGACTTC